GGACATCTCCCCCTGGGGCCTGCCATGGCTCTGCCAGTGTTTTCCTTCCAGACATCCTTGCCGACTGCTCAGGATCTAAAGCCTCCAAGTGGAAAGGTTGATTTTCCACTTTTGGAGAACAGTACATCTCTGAAGGTAGAAATGGGACTGTGGGTATTTCAGGCCTTGTGCTTGGGTCATGGAGCTGGAAAAGTCCCCTGTGGTTTCCATTCAATGAAGGTGTTTTCTTAGGCAAAAACAAATTACACTGTTGCTTTGCTCTTTAGCAAACTCCATCTGCTCATTTATTTTGCTTGGTGTATATTTTCGACAGTCATTGCCACAGTGGTTTGCCATCTATTGACTTGTCCCCCTGTTCCCCCTTTGGCTTTAAAATGCTGCACAACCCTTCTACCCAAGGTGGAAAGAAACCGCTTTCACTACAGCTCTTAGAAGAGCTTGTAGAGTATTAAAGTAATTGAAAAAAAATCAATATCGTGATATCAGTGTACAGGTTTACAGATGCCTTGGGGATGTCAGACCAACAACAATTAAATTGATCTTGGGCCTTGTTTTGGGTTTGCACAGTTTCTAGGGCTTCTGGATTCTTTCGGGTTCTGTGCCCTGAGCAGTCGTGTAAAGGCTCTTTGAGGGGTGCCCAGATTCCAATTTGCCATTAACCTTAATACACCCTGCTTACCTCAAGCAAGTGTGAGGCTGGAGGAGTCACAGAAAGGAGCTATTCAGCAGGGATTATATTTTTTAGCACAGTCTCAGCTGCCAAGCCAAGTACAGTATTTGCTTACTTGGGCAGCTTGGTGCCTACAGGCCCTGTTTATGTAGAGGGATGGCAGGGATAAAGTTCAGCTCAGTATTTTTCAATCAAAGGACATTTTTTAAAAAGACAAATCCTGCCTTGAAATTTTAGTCTTCCCATCTTACTTGTTTTCCTTGTGGATGGTGATTTAAATAGAGCATCTCTCTTCAGCTAGGACTTGCTAAGTGGATCACAGAAGCATCAAGTCTGCCTCCCTGGCCATCTGAACAGCTTTCAACAGTTAATGGTATATAAAAAGCAACATCTTGCAGTCTCTGGGGGCCACGAGAGGTGAAAGGGAGTCTTAGAGAGGCAATCATTGGCTTCCAAGCAAAACAAAGGAAGACTACAGAGCTAGAAGATGACCATTCAGTCTCTGTTTGGTTTTCCAAACTCAGGAACTTGTGGACATGCATTAACTGGCACTAAACACAACTTGATGCTTCAAGGAACTTCAAAAGCTTATTGATGGCAGGTCATCAGACAGAAAGATGTGAGCGCTCATTTCCTACTAGCTTCATCAGTGTGGGTTGCTGGGTGGCTCCTCTGAAAGGGCTGAATCGTGGGGTTGGTCCCTAAGGGGAGAGAAGTTTCATTCTGTTCTCTCTCCAGAGCTATTCACTACCTTGCAGATGAATATCATTTGGGAGAAGAGGTTGAGAGGGTTGCCTGATTTCCTGTCCTACTTTTGCTCTTTGTCCCATTGCTGAGACTCTGGTGTCTCCCTGACTTTGGCATCACTCCAATTTCCTTCCAAAACTGCTCTCTTTGCTTGAGCTACCACAAATTGAGTTTTTGTTACTTGAAACCAAGAGAACCTTAACCAACACAGCCCTCCAAGGCCTGGCCTCTGCCTGTCTTTCCAGCCTCGTTCCTAATGCCCTGGCTGTAGGTTTTCATGCTGTAGGTCTGGCTGTGCTCTACACTGCTTCCTGCCTCCTCGACTTTGCTCCTGTCATTCCCTCCACTGGGAAAACTTTTCCATTTCCCTTCTCCTGGCTGAAAGGGGCTCTTCCTAGAGAACCCAGCCCAGGAAGCCTTCCCTGTCACCTATCACTTCTGAGAGATTTTTATGTCTGTGTTCATACTTCTCACACTCCTTGGACAGGGACCAAATCTCTCTCATCTTTTATACCCCAGGGTCTAGCACACAATAGGCACTTAAAATGTCTATTACACAAAACTCAAGAAAGTAATAAAAGATTTTCACTTCTGCAGGAAAAATGAAAGCAGAAGTTGAGGAACAGAGTCACACTGTGCGTAGATACCCAAAGAAGATTCTAGAAGACCAGTGATTGTAACATACAGCAAGGAGCCTGAGAAGGACAGTGGAGAGGGTGGTGCATTCTGGGTGGAATTAGATCTTCCCTTCCTCTTGCTGTCACGTCTTTGCCTCTTGTACTGGTGCCATTGCATTTGGGGCTCCAATATCAGCTACCACTACCAGGTGACTTAAAATAAATTTTCACTCTCCAGATTCCTTGTCTGTGGCTAGGACCATGGAAACCACTAGAAAGTAAGTGACCCTGTAGCCAGAGAACATAAGTCTATCTGAGCAAGACAACACTGTAAAGAGGGGGTGCCACTGGGAGTGAGATGTGGAGGATACATGGGAATTACCAAAAAGACAGTGAGGTCCATTGTGTTCAGGAATCTACAGAGACCACAGCTTAAAATCTCCCATCTTAAGCTAGAGAAGGACAACTGTCCAGAGAGCCAGGGCGTGTGATGGGGAAAGTGGAGTTGACACTGGACATTTCGTGGACTGTGTTCACAATGCACATTTAACAGACCCTGAGAGTACACTTTGTGGAATTGTATGTGTATTTGAAATAGTCCAGCTTACAAGAGAACTCCCCAGGCAGCCACTTGGATTATTTTATGCGCCACTCTTATAAGCAGCAAAGTGATTAAGCGTACCGACTGGCACTGAGTGCCTGGACTTAATTTTCAGATCTGTCTCCTACCAACTCTATGTCCTGTGCTTCAGAGGCATGATCTGTAAAATGAAATAAGAAGAGTGTCTCTCTCAGCAAATCATAGGGGTGAGTGAATTAATATATGTGCAGCCTTAGGGCAGTATCCAGTTGTGACAAACATCACCATTAGGCATAACTACAATTTCATTTCTCGTGAGGTTTCAGCCATTGCCCATCCTGCCCTTTGTGCATATTCCCATGATAGTAATTATATGATTTCAAGTTTTCATTTGTTTGTGGTTTCCCACTGGACTGAATCCCTCAAAGGCATTAGTTGAATAAATGTCTTTTTCCAATGCAATTGAATTCATGCTCTTGAGCATATTTCCTACTTAATACATTTACATATTGTAATCTAAGGGGAGAGCTCCTCTTAGGATTTTGACTGGAAAAAACACTATTATTTGGAAACTCCTCTTTTTTGGCTGAAAAATTCTTGGACACAGGAATATTATCTTTTCTATAAACCCATGCTGGTCTTCTGAGACAGCTTTGGGGAAAGTTGTTTTATGAAGGTTTTTGTTCTGTTCAAAGGGGTTATTTAAAGAGCCCAGAGAAGTAAGAAATATCTGAGTCTTGTCACTGGCCAGAAAATTTTACCAGGGCCTCGTTGCAAAATTTTGAGCCTTGGCAAAGAAACTTCTGCCAAAGGGGCCTTAATTCCTGAGAAGTGGGAAAATTAAACTCAGTGGAGTTTAGACATCATAGCACTTGGAGAGGACAGCTTGATGCTCCTCGCCTGTTTGTGCTGGTTGACTCAGAGGAGGAGGGGCATGAAAGAGAATTTTCCATTGAGACCGCTGAAGGAAAGATGGAGCTGTCTTAGGGGATTGGCCCCAGAGACCGACCAGTGCTCTGGAGTGTGCAGCACCAGGGGATGGGATGGGGTGCATGTTCTGACCCCAACAAAAGGAGGTCAAATGAACCAACAGATCGGCAAATCCAGCTCTGTGCTTCCCTGTCTGCACAGGCTTCTGGCCTGGCTTTCCTCCCTTGCAGTCTGAGGGCTTGCCACAGATCGTCTGTCTCTAAGGGACTATTTTGAGGTTAAAGATTGTCGTCTTGCCTCAGCAGTGCTGAGCACAGTTTAGGTCACTCAGGGTGCACTGTAGCCAAGCTTCCTGTGTCATTTATCGTCTTCAGAACCTACTTGTCACAAACCCACATTCTGTCCAACCCCTCTCAACCCCAGCCTTCCTACTGGGACACAGGGAGCATCTCTGTTGTCAGCAAGCTCCGAGAAGCTTCTGCCCCTTCACCTCTTGCCCTACTTTCCTGCTTTGTCTCTCGTGTCCTCCTAAGTGGGGACTATCTGCTCTCTCTCAGCCCATGTATTTCCCGCCTGGACTGGGGACTCAGAGTTCTGCTCTTTGTCCCTATTGTCCTTCCAAACAGCCTGAAGTTATTTTCAGCCCCATCTCCATCACTCATGTCTCCTGTCATCCTCCCACTCCCCTTCTGTCCTCTGCTGAAGATACCAGAGCTTGGTCCACTAATTTTCTCTCTATCCTGACTCCTGTGTTTGGTACCCATGGAGGATCTTGGAATCAATACAGTGGATAGTGAGAGGTGACTGAAATTATACTAAAAAAGCTTTTTCTAAATATAATAAATTAAAATAGCATATATGTATGATTAAAGAAATGCTCCTTTGTATGAATTATTGCCATAGTCAAACACATAGGTAGAATAATGTTCCTAGTACTTCAGTTTTTTAATTAGTTTTTTTGGCTGAGTCTGGCATGAATACAGTGCCACTGGTATCTTTCTAAAGAATTTCCTTTTCAAAAACTTGTTTTCATATTTTGAAGTGGTGAAGCAAAAATGTTTGCAATTGTCTTCAAAGTAAATTTTATGGTTAACAATCTGAAATGGCAGACATATGTAAATGATTCTTTCCTGTGGACTACAGTATGTTTAATTGATAATATTCCCTCCCCACCCCTCTCCAGGCACTAAGAGATTTGGTAGACTCAGTGCAAATTCTGCTCAATAAGTGATATCTCAGTTCTATGTTTATGTAAACATTTTGCTCCAGTTATTGACACAGGTGCTGTCCTTTTTCCTCCTTTCGAGGTAGCACTCTCCAGAACACATTTTTATAAAACATGACTTGTCCATTAAGTCATCCCTACTTAGAATTGTTTTAAATATTTTCCCATTGCACATGTATTTCACATCCTGATAGGTGAATCCTTAGCAGAGGAAGTAAAATTCAAACAAACTCTTGCCAGCTTATTTTAATGCCAAAAAATCAATAATAAATGATACCTAGTTACCACTGAAATACCCAGGACAAATGCTAAACTAGGTAGACCCAAGACAGCTGGCACAGCAATTCTCCCAGGAAGCTGTTATAACCCTAAACCCTCACTGGTTCTCAGTCTGAGTATACAAGAATCAGCAGGGAGGTAGTCAGGCATGCCAGTATTCAGGCTCCAGTCCCAGCGGTTCACATTTCAGTGGTATAGGGAAAAGGCCTGGGAATGAAGGTTTTGGTCTCCCAGTGATTCTTTTGTGTAGCCTAGTGCACTATCTTTGAGCAAGATCCACTTGGCCCTTCAGGACCAATGTGTTGCAGGTGTTCTGAACTTCAGAAACAATGAGGGGAAGGCAGATCAGGGAAAGCTATGCTGCTGCCACACTCTCTGCATCCCTGCAGGTGTGTGGTATGGTCATCATGGGCCAGGAAGATCAGAGGGTGGCTTCTCCACAAATCCTGTGAACACTAGCATCACACCATCAGAAAAGTTGCAGGTAATCCTTTTAAATGTTTAATTAAGCAACTTCTACATCATCATGATGAAATGAAACTTGAGGGATAAAGAGTTCTTCTGAGAAATAAAAATTTGAAAAATTTCAGAAAAGCTTGATTTCACCCTAAGTGCTTCACTCTCTTCCGAACATATATTTTGAAAACAACTCTCAAAAAGGAAAGATGTGAGCACCCTCAAAATGATGGCCAACTTTGGCTTACCCTGTACATTTGATGATCGTCTTTCTAACTCCACATTTTGAAGTGTGACAGCTGCAGGGACAAAGAACAATAACAACGCGTCTGCTTCCCAAGCCCCACCCAAGCCCTGCCACCCTGCACGAACCCTGAAGATACAATCCAGGCATGGTCCCAAGAGTGTCAGGAAGACAGCATTTGCCGTGTTTTGCTGCTCTAAATTCAGTTCCGAGGCTGTGAGTTGAACTCGGTACAGATGTTCCGGATGATCTTGGGAACAGATGTGTAGAGGTTGTCAAACTCATCCACAAAGAAGGAGTGGTCCCTGGCAGGGTGAGTGGCAATGATGTCCAGCTCTTCCTGGGCAGCCCATGCAACGCCTATGGCGTAAGTGATGACGCCTGTGGGAACAAAGACTAGATGAGATGGATGTGCCCCAGAACAGCACTGCTGTGAATCTTCTACTTGTTGCTCTGTCAGAAATGTGCTTAACAAAGCAGAACAACCCACTGGCAGGCGACTGCATCCTAGAATTACAACTAAGTATGACCATGAATTCATCCAGTCATTTAACACATACTTCTGATCATCTACTCTCTGCCAAGAGGAATGCAGTAGATAGTGTTGCTGTGTCAGAAGCTTACAGTCTTCTGGAGATAAAAACAACACGAAAAAATGGAGTAAACATATGGTAAGGATTGCACGTACGGGACAGAAGAGGGAAAGATAATTTGGGACAAGTGAAACTTTTGCTGCCATGCACACCACAGCATATGGCGCGTGCCTGCTCTTGTGTGGAGAGCCAAACAAAATTGCAGGGGGCCTTCAAAGCATCAAAAGCCACTTTATGATCTTTTTAACTACAACAGATTACTGCTTTTCATCTGACTTATTTTTACTTTTTTTGAGACAGGTTCTCATTAAGTTGCCCAGGCTGGGCTCAAATTTGTGATCTTCCTGCCTCAGCATCCCGAGTAGCTGGGATCACAGACTCACTCAACCAAGACCTGATCCAGATTACTGTATGAACTGAATTAAATCACTTTAGGCTGGAGGGTGACTTTACAAGACATCATTTTCAACCTCATCCCAGGTGCAGAAATTGTGTCCCCAGTCCTAGCATCTACTCTGTCACCATAGCGAAGAGAGGATTTCAAGATAAGAAAGAAGGTGGCCAGCAATCGTGCATGCAGCAGGGAGTCATATAAAATGTCTTCATTGGATTGAGAAGAAAAAAAACGAACCAAGTCACCAGTAGGTTAGTGAGGGCAATTTCAGGGGGAGGAGATGCCAAAGAAACCAAATAAATTGTTGTGGATTGCAAGTGAAAAAGAAAGGATGATGTTGGGGTAGGACATGTAATTAATCCTTCCCAGAAGCTTGGGTGTGGAGGGGCAGGCAAGTAGTAACTGCAGTAGAGCATGGGGGTCAAAGAGAATTTTTTATTTGGGGTAAGGGAGGGACTTGAGCATATCTAGAGGTGAATGGGCAAAAATATAGTGAAATATAGCAGGTGCTTGGCTTTGCAAAATCCTAATTTCATGCCACCTTCAGGCTGGCCAGAGCAGGTATGCGAGATACCCATGAAAGAGAGGGCAGAGCTTTGGTGTGGCAACTGGGCCTCACTCCCAAGCCTAACTCACACACACTGAGCCATCCTGTTTCAGCATGTTCTGGGTGTCCTGTCCTCCTGACTAGAGAACCATGCCCCCCTCACATGGCTCTCATCTAATCTGCTTTTCAGTTGTGTCCCATTCAGCTGCATGGAAAGCTACTTTCTTTTCTCATCTCTCCACTTTCTCTTCTCTGAATATTACTTAGCTTGGTTGTAGGGGGTTCATCAGTTCTGAGCTTTAAAATGCTGCCAAGGGAGCAGGAGCAGCTTTGCTGCAGAGGTGGGCTTGGACCGACTGACTAAGCCCTCTTTTCTGCTCAAGGGTGGGAAGACTGCCCCCTAATAGAGACTACGCAACAGTATTAGAAATTTAGCTTTTCAGATCCCTGAGACCTCCCTTGTAGTAGAGAACCTTCTCCTGGCAATTCTGACAGGAGGTAACACAGCCTGGACTTGATACTCCCGGCACACAATATTCATTACATTTTTAGAAGAATTGTAGTTAGTAGGCATTTGCATCCATTGGCCTCATTTCTTAAAAGCTGCCCAGAATATGAGACCCTGATAGCTTCCATTTCCTTCTTTCTTCTCTCCTGCTCATGAGTAGGCCAAGGATATCCTCTGGGTGAGATCCAAAGTAGGTCTAGTACATTAGAAAAAATAAGTGATACTTCAGCCAAACACAAGCATGGGACAGATGTGCCAGAGACAGAGGGGCCCTGGGCTTGGGAGTCAGCAGTGGCCCATTCGTCTTGCCCACCCTGGGACCTTGGGCAGGTTGTTTCTGAGCCCTAACCCAACTCTGCTGGGACAAGATTAAGACCAGGAGAACCTGTGACACTGGCACTCAGGGTTCCCACCGCTCACCATTGTAACTGTGCCCCCAGGCTCCTGGAGGGCAGTCACTGGGGGGAAGGCTCTGCCGGAACGCAATGTCTGGGCAGCGTGCTTGCCAGAAGCCAGCACTGCCCATTCCTAAAGGCTTATTTTAGGAAAGATTTAAAGCAGTTCTCAAGAACCCAGAGAATCCTCCAAAATAACCCAAATTAAAGGGAAAGAAGACAAATGACGTCAGCACTGAGCTCTGTACGTTAACACTTATCTAAAGGTCTCTGGTGTTCACTGACCACTCAGTTTACATTTATTATCATTAGTACTATTATTGTCATCATCATCACTTGGGGTTCTCTTTGGGTTGTTATGTTTTCATGATATTTTATGGCACTTTTAGAACAGTGATTATAATATATATATACATACATATACACACATACATAGTCTACAATAAAGGCATAAATGTGACAGATTTTTCAAAACTGTTTTGCTTGTATCAATATATTGTTTGTCTTTCATGTTTTTAAACTTTCTGTTGACTTAGAAATTTTTGTATGGAAATATCACTCTAATGATTTGGAAGCAAAATTTCTTTGATTCCCCAACCCCCAAAAGTGGGTTCTTCTGTGAGTTCTTCACAAAAATATTACTTTTCTTTAAAAACATTATTATTCTTTAAAAGTCACCAACACAGTTTGGTGCCTTAAACAGAGCTAGAGATATGGTGTATTTCATAGAGATAAACTAATGAACCAAATTCCTTTCTAATGCATCAGCCCTCCTGAGAGAAGCCTCAAGATGCAGGCTATAGAGGACAAGGTCACTGTTCCCAGTAACGCACAGCCTTGAATTTTCAAGGACATTTGGGGGACACCTGGCTGTGTTCGCCTCCCCTCTGCATACTCCAGGAGGCCCACAGTGTTTACTCTCCTAATAGTCTCCCTATGATTTTAAACAGTTTCTTATGCCACAGACAAACCAGTGTATAAAATGCCAGTACCTTCCTTGTCCCCTAAGCAGACCAGCCCCCGATCCCCAGAGAGATGTCTCAGTGATGGGCTGAGGGCTGGCCTGGCTTACCCCTCTGATGGGCAGCCATGGCTGGGATCCGCACGTCATCGTAGGACTTGCCATCTGTGATCAGGATCATTAACTTCCGCTTGTTGGGCTTGGACTTCTTGAAGAGCTGCTCCAGGGCATAGTGGATGGCAGCCCCCGTGCTGGTGCCCCCACTCCAGTACCCCACACTCTTGATGGCGTTGAGGATGTCAGCCTTGGTGTGGTACTTGTCAAACCCAAACTCCAACCGCTGCTCGTAGGTGTACTGTACTGCCCCGATGCGCGTGTCCGTGTCTGAGATCTCAAACTCCTTGCTGAGGTTGGCCACGAACTGCAGGACTGTGCGGAAGTTGCCTGTCCCCACGCTACTGGAGCCATCAATGATGAAGCCAATGTCGGCTGAGTTGAAGCAGGTCTTGCTGCAGGCCAGGCGGTCTGTGTCGCAGATCCGCTTCACCAGGGGCTGCACGGTCTTGCGGAGTCCAAACCAGCTCTGCACACTGAACGAGTAATAGCCATTTGTTCTGCACACAGCCTGGAAGACAGATAGGAGAGACACTCACCAGGTGAGGGGTCAAGCCCTCCAATCTACCTCTAATACCCTTGGCCTTCCACCAGGCAGCTAACTCGGCAGGCTCTTGTTTCTTGTGCTTATCCTTGTAGTGTGCTTTCTCCCATTCCCTGGGGGGCAGCACTCACAGAGGCAAAGACCCCTCTAGCAGTCTCTGGACCCCCTTAGCTAGGTCTCTGCCCGATTGGAAAACTGTTTGCTCAGCATACTCATAGGGAGATGAAAACCATTGGTTTTAGCTTCATCTTTATGCCTCTCCAGGCTCCTCATTTCATTTGCCCAGGCAGTCAGCCATAGGAGTGGCATGGGTGAGCACCAATGCATGAGAGGACTAAAGAAAGCTTTTGTTCCGATTGGGAAAACAGAGGACACACACTGGAAGTGACTAAAGGAATGTTTCCAGAGCAGCCCTGTTCCCAGCAGGAGGGGACCCCCACAGATGCCGAGTGGCCTCATATATCAGGCCAGGTTCTTTCTTTAAATCCCCACTCTAACCCTATAAGATGGGATGATAACCCCCTGTCGTGAGAGAACAAACTGAGCGCCAGGGGTGGAAGAATGTCCAGGAGTCCTTGGGACTGGAACTCCAATCTGTCTGCCTTCAGAACCCAAGCTCTGCCCTCCAGAGAGCTCTGCTTCCAGGAAAATGAATATTTATTTACTTGTGCCCAAGCTTGTTCCAGATTTAAGGCAGCTGCAGATAAACAATGAGCAAACAGGTTGGTGTGACCCTGGAAGAGGGTACACCAGTCTTTCTAAGGAGGGCCTTTCTTCCTTGCTCCTGCTTCTGGGGAAGCAAAGGGCACCTGACAACTACAAATGAATTTGTGTAATTTAAAAAATTATTTTAAAATAAGAAGTGGCTTATTTTAAACTTTCCTGGGAAGTATTTTTGTTGTTGCTAATTTGCAGAAACCTTAACAGAGTTCACAAAACGTTCGAGCACAGGGCCTGAGTGGGGCCAGGAAGGTGGACTGGGCCCACACTACAGAAGGCCTCAAAAGCAGTGAGGAAGAGTGAAGGATTTGGAGCAAGGACCCTGCAGGACTGGAGAAATGCTTCATAAACACTAGTTGGATTTCTTTATGAAATCTAAACTAAACTAAGGGAGAGAGACAGATGTAAATTACTGGCTTGAAATAGGTAGTTGACAATGGGCATGGGAAAGAGCAGACAGACAAGAATCCAGGAGCATCCCTGGAAACATGATCTCCCTGACTTGTTCAACACCTCCCTTGTCTTATTTATCAGATGGATTAATTAGTAGTGTGTGTTTGTGTGAGAGTGCATGTGCATTTGTGTTTGTGTAAGAGACTGTGTATACATATGTGTGCATGTTCGTGTGCTTGTGTAAAGCCCCCCTGGGTTGCCCAGCTGGGGCCCCCTGGTGTTGTAGGAGGAACAAGGGGGAGCCCCCATGTGAGATGTTGGAAATCCACCCCTACTTTCTGCTCTCAAGCTGCTGGTCTCAGAGTCAGTGTGGAGTTTTGCTTTGAGAAGCTAACTCCAGATTCTAGACTTGTTAGTCCCTCCCTGGAGGTCCTACTACCTAGAAGTGAGCTTCACACCCATTTAATAGACTGAGAAAACAGTCTTGATGGCACTGTAACTTTTCAGGGTACAGGGGGTCCTTACATTGGGTGAGTCTCTGGGCAGTTATATACCTTGCTGGCGAAGTTGGGCTCCACCACGTACTGCTTCTCATTTTCAAGAGCAGCTTCAATGGTGATGAAGAAAATGTTGATTCCTGACTCTCTTGCAAGTCTTGAAGTCTCCTCTACTTTGTCTGTGGGCCAGCCATCCAGTAGCACCACAGCCACGTTGGGAGCACCACCTCTGTTTCCATTGGCTTTGGAAAAGAAGTTCTTGGTCACAAAAGAGATGGCTCGGCCTGGAAGAAAAAGAAAACTTCTGCTTGGAGCGATCATGCTAACTGGAATTATAGGCACAGATCACAGTAACACAGAGGGGTTCAGAAAAACACATTCATCCCTTCCCCAGTTTTGTTTGTTTATTTTAAACTACTTTAACTATTTTTAGGTGTGTACACTTTAGTAGCATTTAGCACATTCCTGTGTTCACATATCCCCTGAAATTATGCACAGTATTTTGTGTACATGAGCATCCATCTGGATAGATGTCAGCCATAGTTTTCCAGACATTCTCAAATGAATTAAGAGCTACATTCTGTGAACTTTAGCTTAATATCGTTACACTCAGTGCTTTTCAAGTTTTGAACAGCATCCTGGCTCTGCTGGCTGGTATAATTTTTTTTTTTTTTTGGTACCGGGGATTGAACTCGGGACCTTGCTCCTGCAAGGGAGGTGGTGGAACCTGGCTGGCATAATCTTATCTTTCAAATGCAAGCATCAAATGGTTACATAGGAAGTTGCTGGAGAAAAGTCTTGATGAACCCATGTAAAGTGATGGCACAGAACCTGATTGCTAAGGGAAAACCCTGGCAACTAAGAAATGCTTTCATGGCCAAGGGATAATTTCCCTCAAGGCCCCAAACATCCAGCAGTTTTCTCTGTCTTAATATTAGGTGCCTGTGGGCAGAGCACAGGGAACCATAGATTCACCTTTATCTCATCTATCTTAAGTCAGGAGGTTACAACGAATCAATGGTCAACACCTCATCCACCTTGCAGTGAGGCTTGAAACCAGAGGCTGGAAATTGGAAAACTGCATTGTGCATACTCCCTTGCATCTAGATTTCAAGCTTTGTTTTAGTTGCATGAATTGATGCCTTTGCCTGAGATTTAGAAGATAAAAGTGAGGTAGAGGCTGTACTTCTTCTTCTTCTAGTTCTACTGGCAGAATCTGTAGAGTATTTTATTTCTCTGGGACACTGTTAGCAAGAGGTGCTTGTAATTGGCTGCTAGCTTCGACGGTCTTGATGTAGCAGGATATGCAGTGTTGCTTTTGTGGGTATGAAGGGGACAGGTAGGGCATAATTCTTGAGCTAGCCACTGTAGAAGCAGCTCCATGATCATGTGGCTTCCTGGCTGCTATGGTTTGTATCTAGATGTTCCTACAAAGCCTTGTGCACTTATAGATGGGGCTTTTGGGTGGGTGATACTGAATTATGGGTATGGTAACTGGATTAGTCCGCTGATTGGTTTGGCATAGTTCTAGGTGTGGATAATGGGAAGACCAATGCTGGGTGTGGGTGGCACCAACCAATGGGCTTGTAACCTGAATGGAATAAAAGGGAAAAGGAAGACTCCCTGCTTGCTGCCTCCTGCCTGCAGGCCATGAACTTTTTTCTCCTTTGCCATGCCCTTCTTCCATGCCACCCTGCCTTGGAGCCAGCTGACTATGGACTGAAATCTCTAAACTGTGAGTTTTATTTTTATTTATTTATTTTTAGGTACTGGGAATCAAACTCAGGACCTTATGCTTTCCAGGCAGGTTCAGCACCACTGAGCTAAATCCTCAGCCCCACTGAGCTAAATCCTCAGCCCCAAACTGTGAATTTTAGTCTTTCTTTTTTTTTTTTTTGGTATTGGGGATCAAACTCAGAACCTTGTGTTTGCAAGGCGCCACTGAACTAAATTCCTGGCCTGGCCAAACTGTGAATTTTAACTTGTGGGTGTTGAGTATTTTGTGCCAGCAATGAGAAAGTAACTAAGACACAGGCAGAAGCAGGTTTCAGTAGAGGCTATAATGGCAGAATTCAGAAAATACTTTCCTGATTTTAGAAGAAATAGCAACTCCCATATAGGCCCTGTTCTTTTTTTTTTTTTTGGTAACAGGGATTGAACTCAGGACCTTGAGCTTTCGAGGCAGGCAGCAGAACCACTCAGCTAAATCCCCGGCCCTAGGCCCTGTTCTGTAAGAAGCCTTTAGAAGACATCTCTGAAAGTCCAGCCTATAGTCTACTTCTTCAGCCCTTTCCATAATTTTCAAAATATCTAATACCCTGAAATAAATGCTTCTGGGCTTAAATCAGTTGAATAAATTATATTTTCTGAACCCACACCTTGAACAATCCAGAGGCACAGTTAGAACATGCCATCCACTGAAAAATGTATGCCACTTGGATCAGAGAAGTTGAGGGCCGTCTGAAGGCTTTCTTCTTTGGAATTTCGCTTATGTAAACATTAAGTAGAAAATGAGGCAGAAATCATCTCTATCATGTTTGCAATGAAAGCAACATGGATTTGAGGACACAGAGAGCAGTACTTTGGCTAGTGCATAGAGCAAAGGTGCAAGACTCTGTATTTACCAGTTACTAAAGTTCTGTTCACTACAGAGATGTTCAGGGAGGTGGGAAGATTAGATTAACAATCTAATTAATCAGATTGGCTATAACTTCAAAGATGCTCCCTCAAAGACAGCTTTACTTCCTGTGTGTGCTCCATGCCAAGCAACTGTGGCTCTTATCTCTACTCCTTTGGTCACTGACGGTAGAAATAGATTATTGAGAAGCAGGTAATCACTCACCCCCTCACTGTCCCGAAAGCCAGGCTACTATTTTTGAATTAATAATATATGGGCCAGGGATTTAGCTCAGTGGTTCTGCCACCTGCCTCACAAGTGCAAGGTCCCCAGTTCGATCCCTGGTACCAAAACCAAACCAAACCAAACCAAAAACATCGGCATAGGCTCTTTGACAGTCTTTAAACATGGTTAATGTAAAACTTTCTTAATGTCCAGTCATCTCTGGGTGAATTGGTAGAACTGACATGTCCCACTGAGGACTAGAGCTGGGGCTTCTAGTGACATCACTCAACCCCTGGAAAGTCTCAGATGTCACAGGAAACTGTTCTTAAAGCAGAGACTATGCCTCTCTGCACAGTCATCAGTGCAAACAGTAGCTGATAGGAACAAAACTCCCAAGAGGCTCTGAGGGGCTTCCTGAATGGAATTGGTCACAGAAATTCATACTAAATGGTTGGTGACTTATAGGCAAACCAGGAAATAGTCACAGCAGCAGTCCTGCTTGTCCCAGAGAATGGTGCCACACTGGGGAACCAAGCAGGACTGAGCTCTCTAGCATACATGGTTAATGATTCTTCCCCCCTGAATCTGTAACATGTTGGAAAAGGTACAGATGTTATGTAAACCATTTCTTGATGGATTAGTACTTTTTGCCTCCTTCTATATAGAATGCTAGAAGACAACCACGTAGAAAGAGAACCATGGTAACGAGGTAGAATTATCTGGGCCACGTACCTGCATTAGAAAGTCCTCCTCTCAGGGTAATTTTCTCTATGGCTGCCTTCAGATCTCGAGAATTTGTGTGAGTTTTTAGGTTAAAGTGGGTAGCAGGGTTGTCTCTGAGGAGTTAGAACAAGAAATAAAAATTAGCTGGAAAGTTATTACCTTTGGAGGAAGGCAGAACTCATGCTTTTTTTTTTTTTTTAACATACAAATAGAAGCTACTTCAAAGCCTTAAACTGTGGTTCATAAAATGTCCCAGAATGGACAGTGATGGTAAAACAGGAAGACTGGGATCCTCTGCATTGCAAATACAGAAGACCGGGATGGTTCAGGACTTGGAAGCCATGTGTTCTACTTTTGATAGTGTCCTCTCCTATCTGTGCGCTCTGGAGAAGTCATTGAACTTCTCTGGACTTCAGCTTCCTCACAGAGATAAACACATTGTCCCGCGTCCACATTCTAATGAACAGGGTGCTGTAAGGCGGGCTTCTGCAAAAGTAAGGACCCCACCTTTTGAGCACCCCCTGTCCCTAAGGTTGCCCCAGACTCTCCTCTCCAGGGAGACAATCTCAGCTGTTCACCACTTCCTGGGTTACCCCTGACACTGAATAGTGGTGCCAGAAAACTGCTCTACCTTTCTCATCCTGTGGCTCTTACGACTGTCAAGACTGCTGAAATCTCAGCCAGAAGGTTAGCATCCATTTTGCTGAAGGCTGGAATAGATGAACTGGAGAGGAATAGGAGTGAATCCAGGTGAATGGGTTTGGGAGCTGCCAGGCAGAGGGTGTGGAACACCTTTTCTGACCAGCTGGAGGTGCAGCCGCAGGACGCAGGCTCTGCACCAGAGGCAGAGTGGAGTGGGATGTGCAGTGGGCTCACATCTCATGCAGTGCTGACACTCAGCCACAGGCAGAGCCGAGTTTGCGGGCGCATCCTGACAGTCATACGGGGACCCTGCGCACAGAAAGGGCTACATGTGCTTGGTTCAATGCTCTGCTGATGCCATCTTGAAATTCTTAATAATTTCTGAGCAAGAGGGCCTGCAAATTATGTAGCCAGTCCAGGCTGCAGGTTCCTGAGACCTCAAGAGCAGGGAAAGGGACTTTTAAAAGATTTTCCACGAGGGGGCTCGGGATTTAGCTCAGTGGTTCCGCTGCCTGCCCCAAATCCCCGGTACACAAAAAAGAAAAAGAAGAAGCTCTAAAGGGACCAGGGATTTAGCACAGTGGTTCTGCTGCCGCCTGCCTGGCAAGCACAAGGTCCTGAGTTCGATCCCCAGTACCAAAAAATAAAAGATTTTCCATGAACACCAGAAATAGATCCTCTGAGAAGCCACATGGTCCTGTTTTGGGTGCCAACTCCACGGTTTCAGTTGATTCTTAGCAAATCCTTGGGGACCTGACAGGCAGCACAGTAACCAGGGAGCCAGTCACCAGGACCTGAGAGAGAGGAGACACACTCTGCCTCCTCCCATCCTCACTCCTTTCCTATTTTCCAGTCTTCCTGTCTCAAGGTGACCTGAGTTTTGTTCAGAAGGGGAGTGTATCCAAATGTCATGGAAAATAAAACGGAGAGGGCCGGCCACCTTCAGGCGAGATGGGAAATTTATGACAAGTGCAAACAAGGTGGGGTAAAACGCAACCGGATGAAGTCCCACCAGATGAAAACTAAGTTCTGTGGTTACATTTAAATAAAAACAAATACTCAAATAATAGCAACAAAGCAATCAGCAGCTTGGGGACACGTGGGCCTCTGAGCAGAGCATGAAATGTCCTGAGCGGAGGCTTGGAAGGATCCCTGGGGCTACACTGTCACACTCTCTCCTCCAGGCTCCTGGGCCGAGGGTTTACATTCTTACTGAGCAATTTAGTAATGGCTGTATTTGTCCGCAAGGCACGGGGCTCACACCCTGCGCCAACTTACTCGTAAAACTCCTAAGTGGCCACCATCAGATCCTGGCAGCCCTGTATGTCTTCACCCACTTCTTTCCTTGTCCCTGTATCTCTGGAATGACCCCTAGTTCCAGTCCCCTTATTTCTGGCTGATTGTACTATATAATTCTCTGTTATTCTCTGCAATGCCAGCAGTATCCTATCTGCCAGAGGAGTCTTCCTCTGTTCTTATTTATGACTATAAAATTCCCCTGCTCAAAAATCATCAGAAGCTCTTGTGGTCTTGGTACTGTGTAGGTGTGTCCCCCAAGAGTTTACATGCTCAGTCCCTAGTGTGATGGTACCGAAAGGGCACGGGACCTTTAGGAGGTGAGGCCTAGTTGGGGTTCTTAGGCCATTGCGGGAGCAGCCCTCAGTGTTTGAGTGGCTCTGGTGGGAGCCTGGAGCTCTTGGGAGAGGGCAGTCTGGTGAGTGAGCTGGACCCCTGAATTGCTCTCTGGGTTCCTGTTTGGCAATGTGGTTGTTCCTCTCGCATGTAATGTACACCTGCTATCAGGTGGTCCTCACCAAAGCTGAGCTGAGGCTGGCACTGTGCCCTTAAACCTCCAGAGCTGTGACCTAAAACAGTCTCTCTCTCTCTTTTTTTTTAATAAAGTTAGCCTGTTAAAGTATTTCATTATAGTAACAAAAAATAAACTGATACATTCCCGCTGTTAGACTTTCTATTTCAGCTTTTGATGTATCCATAATGTAATGCCCTCTTCCTTGTTCTCTCTCCTTTCCTCCCCTCCTTTTTTTTTTTTTTTACAGAATATCCCATATTCTAGTCAAATTCTCACTCTGTCCCATACTCTCCATACAGATGAGGCTTGTTATTGGCAGTTATATGCTGTAACATCTCCAAAACACCGAGCCCCAGTGAAACCACAGGGCTGGGCTCCTCTGGAACTGTAGTCTCAATGTTTTCATCAGAGATCAAAGCATAACCTTGTTTTATGTGTATTTCTCTGTGAAGACACCAAATTTAATTCTAGGTGTGACTGAAAAATACAGTAGATGTTTAAATTCTTTAAAAATGTATTACAGCAAAAGACACATGGCCACCAATTCCCCTCAAAATATCCCCCTCTCCTTGAACACACTTATCCTGTTCTTGCCACTTTCTGAAGCAGTTCTGAAAGTCTTTTTTCTTGAGGATCTTTAGTTGCACTGCTGTGGCTGCCTGCATGTCCTGAATCCATTCGAGACACTTACTCTTCATGTCACTGTGACTTTGGGGAAGAGCCAGGAGTCCCGTGGTGTCAGGTCCGGTGAATACGGTGGAGAGAACACTGCAGGGTTTTTACAAGCCTGTCTTCCTGTTGGATGGCACTTAGAAGAACCATTCACTGTACTTTTTATCACACTTTGTAAAGACACTCACAAAGGAGGACTTACAGAACTACTCCAGAAAATGGCAAGAATCACTGGGTAAGTGTGCTCAAAGGCAAGGGCAAGTTTATTTTTTTTTCTTTTTCTTTCTTTCTTTCTTTCTTTTTTTTGAGACAAGGTCTCTCTATGTTGTTCATGTTGGCCTCAAACTTGCAGGAGTTCTCCTGCTTCAGCCTCTTGGGTGCTGGGATCACAGGCATGAGCCACCCTACCTTACTATACGCGACGTATTTTGAAGAGGTTTAGTGGCAATGTATTTTTTAATGTAATAATTTTTAAATTTTATATATTCACCATATATTTTGATCAACTCTTGATATGCCTTTACACATTAATTATATGCAGTATTCCTTTATAATAAAATATTAGCTGATAAGCTTTTAACAGTTTTCTTGACCTTGGTGATGTGGGTTTTAGACTCACAAAAATTCCGACCATGAAGCTTTTTGTTTTATTAGTCAGCTGTCATCTCATGGATCTGTATGTTCAGCCTCTTTTCTATTTTTTCCGTATCTTCATCACACACGATAGATGCTACTTTAGCGCTTTATGGATCAGATTTAAATTTGTTCTCCTTTTTCCTAATGTACAGATCATCGACTCATTAACATTGAACTCACAAGCAACCACGCTGAAACTCACACCGAAGGAAGCTCGTCTGACACAGAGCCAAGGCAGAGCTTTCTCGCAGTCGGAACCGAGACAGAAGTTTCTCACTGTCTCGGGGCCAATTTAAAACAGTGAAATCACCTACGAGAAGTCCCAAAGTGCAAAAACTGCAACACTAAGTCAGCTGTGGAAAGGTCACTTGGAAAATACTGGGAGAGGGAGGTTTGACCGTAGCTGGGGAGGGGCGCACCGGATGACGCAAATGTTTTCCCACCTGTGGACTTGCGCATGCGTTAAGTGACAAGGGTTGGGTTACAAATAAACTTGAATTTTAGTGAGCAGGCCAATTGGCGAATAACTGAATGCACAAAGCCTGAGGATCCACTGCATCCTAGTTGAGAGCGCATGCTCCTCTTGGCCTCTCAACCCTAGTGCCTAGCAGTCAGGAGGTAACCGGTAGGTGTGGAATACAGGAAGGAAGTGCAAACGTCCTCTCCTCTCTCAGCTCATCCCCAGTGAAGCTGCCACCGTACCTGCAGCTTCACCCTGATCCCCCTGTGCCTGTTACATCACAGATAGAGACAAATCCATCCTCAACAGCACACAGCTGGGCTATTCATATACCTAACGAATAGGTGCTCTTAACTTTACTTTATGTCATTTCTTCTTAAAAAACTGCCTCCCTTACTAGATTGAGATTTAAAGGACAGAAGAATCCCTATCTATCTATCTATCTATCATCTATCTATCTATTTTATCTATCTATTTCTAATGGATTGAAAAAGTGGATCAGGGGACCTCTGAAATGCTTTCCAGTTGTTAAAATGATGACGATGATGATGATGATTAGAGGGAAATGCATGGACCTCATCCACCAAGGGTCTTACAGGCATATGTAGCCAAACCACTTAGAAGAATTTCACATCAGCATCCCCTGCAAATGGCATAGTGCTTAGTACATGGCCAATGTTAATAAATCTTTGTGAAACTGACGTAAATCATGAGGGTGAATGCTAAATTGTTAATCTGCAGACCGTGGCAGCTCTCAGACCAGAGCACGTGAACACTTAGGTACATTTGTCCCTTTTCAGGATGTGTACATGGCAGCCTGACACACCAGCCTCATTGCTTTTCAGACATGGGGACTGTTGAGGTTCGGGAATGGTTTATCCTCCAGCAGCGTG